AGTTTGGTAGTACAGGATAAAATGAAAAACTACACTGTGATCCATAAAGCTCAGAACCCCGATTTATTTTTTACCCCCAAACGACTCTTCAATTCTTCTGTAGAACTAGATTTATTAATAGGTCAGACAGAGTGTCAACAAGGAAAAGCCAAAGGCAACAATGTCAGTTTTGCTCATTTCAGCACTCCGTGAACCATCCATTCACACTTTAATGACATTTCCTTCCCTTCTGACAATTCAAAGATACTCCAGAGCCTGGTAAAAGGCCAGCCTGGACCAAACTCCAGAAGAGGAAGTAAGGACAGCACAGGAAGTGAACAGCCACCCTCCCAACCTGGCTACCTTCTCTCTTCTTCAGAATCAATCATGCTTCAGAAGGGCATGTGCTGTTTCACATAAATGCTAGCACTTGTATAGGAGTCAATCTGCACTATACCGAATGCCACTCCATATGTAGAATCTGTTTACTTATCAAAAGAAAATTATCTTCCAAGAACCATATTAACTCCAGAAATCTTCTTAAATAACTTCAGGGCCATGCAAGAGACCCATGGCCTTTTTCTATTTGCTTAAGAAGTATCAAAGGAAGGATTCTTACACTCTGTATTTCTGCTAACAGGATAAAGACATCCTCCCRACTACAGAAGGAGCAGCTCTCATGGACACACACATCTTTGGAATAAATACAGAAAGATAAAGAAAATTTTGTGAGGGGGGATAAAGCTTGATCCTTATTTGAAATTATATATAGAAAAGAGATTTAAATGCAAACAATATATATATGAATACTTTTCTGATTTTTAAATATGTAAACATAAAAGCAATGAAAAATTAGAAAAAGGAAACTTGAAAAATTGAATGTTTTAGATAAACCAGGAGAAAGGTTGCTCTAGGTCCTCTCGTAGCAACCTGTATCCCTTAAACTCATTCTCTCATCTTAGGCAGGAGGATTGTTTTGAGCTCAGGAGTTCAAGGCCAGCCTAGGCGACATAGCAAAATCCCATTTCTTAAAGGGAGGGAGTGGTGGTAAGGCCAGGGTACAATGTAAGAATCAAAAAACCCCACGAATCCTTTTTTAATTCTTTGTCTAAGCTACGATAGATTTAAACAAGCTGCTATATTATCTATAATAAACAGCTGTTTTATTCTAGAATCTCTTTCCAAGTTGGTCATTTCCTTGCTCTCTTTTGTAGTGACATATGAAGAATTCCAGCCAACAGTCTTCTCAGGTTATTCTCAGGTGACTTRTGATCCCTGCTTTCTCAAAGTCTTTCCTTTGATTGCCATAAGATGTGGAAGGCTTGAGCCGAGTTTTCCCACAGTCRCCATTAAGCACCTATACCCAAAACGCTCACATTTCATTCAAGGTGACAGCTCCTTCCTGCCCCAGAGCTCAGAGCAGCACTCCAACAACTCACAAGGAAGCCTGTTGCTTTGTGCAGTTGCCCAGGCCGAGATCACAGATAGGGCTCTGGGGAAATTTACATCACTCCAGAGAAGCCAATGTGACTTGCATCAACGTAAAAGATGCAACTGATTAATTTTAGGCATGTTGCAGTTTCTTTTATGCAAACACTAGGCATTCAATATAGTCTGTCAAATCGGGGAATGCTTTAAGAGCTCGTTGGAGCCAATATATGTACTTAATCTAGAAACAAAAGCAAAAAAATGATGCCAATTCTTCCCACATTTCTTGTGCAAAGGGAAATATGTTTTCCTCCCTTAGATTTATCAGGTGCCATCCCCTTGACTCTTACAACCCCTAAGGTTTCCTCTAGGAGTAGCTTTGCAGAAAAATGCCATTGCTCTCCAGAATAACCATGGGACCAGGGACTGCCCCCTGGCAATCAGACCCTGTGCCTCTCTACCCAACTGAAACCGCTTTCTCTGCACCTAAAGGGCACTGAAGAAGTTCTGGTAACTAAACATGAGAGTTTCTCCCATTTAAAAAAAAAAAAAAAACAGTCCATTCAACCCACCTTCTCCATCAGCTGTCCTCATTTTCCTTTCACCACCTCATAGTTCAACTCCTTAAAAATAGTCATTTCCTTTCCCTTACCTCCCACTCGACTGAACYTCACCCTCTTCAAACTACTCCAGGGTCATAATTCCAGTGAAACAGTTCTCAGTAATGGATTCAGTCCTAAATTGTGTTCAGTGCCCAGACTTTACCTTCCAATTCTGAAGAACAAAGAGCTCATTTTCTTTTTCTTTTTGGGGGGTTGTGAGGTAACCAGGTATTGAACCTGGGGCTGCTTAACCACTGAGGTACATCCCCAGTTCTTTTTACACTTTGAGACAGGGTCTAATTTAGAATTATGTATATTTGAAATATATATTTATTTGAAATTATATATATGAAATGAGATTTAAATACAAACAATATAGAAAACAATATATATATATATGAATACTTTTCTGATTTTTAAATCTTTAAACATAAAATCAATGAAAAATTTAAAAAGAACTTGAAAAACTGAATGTTTTAGAGAAACCAGGAGAAAGGTTGCTCCAGGTCCTCTCATAGCATCCTGAAGTAAAAGGGAAGCAGGACCCCAGAGTCAGACCACCTTTTGCTCAGACCACAATCTTAGCAAGCAATAAACTCAGGAAAGTCTTTTAATCAGACATCTATTTTTGCAAATGACAGTTATCTCAGACATATCCAAGGTTGGTCTCCAATTTGTGATCCTCCTCCCTCAACCTCATATGAGTTGCTGGGATTGCAGGCATGCACAACCACACCCAGCAAGGTGCAAATAAAGCCAGCTATCCAGAGAACTGACTCTGTTCCCAGAAACCACCTCTATCTACCCATCTCTTCACTCCCTCCTGCTGCTCCCAAGGTGGGAGGAGGAAAGAAAAAGGGAATCCTTTTGAGTCTACGTTGTTGGCCTGGGGACATGGGGATGGCTGCAAGAAGGAGAAACTGACCTCTCATTCCCCGATTAGGAAAGTAATGCATGTGTTGATTTGCTCTGCCCCTCCCAGAGTAAGGGCAAGAAAAACTCTAGGGAGATTGCAGGGCAGAGAGAAACCCGACTCCCCAGTTCTCCTTGCTTCACAGATCACTGAAGAAAGTGACTAGCTAGAGCATCTTCCAGTATCTGATCCCACAAGGCCAGGACATGGTGATCCCAGCACCAGCTACATTACAGGCACTTCACTACTCTTCCCTTTTCACAGATCCAACATAGGAGAAATGATGGGAATCCAGACGAAAGGGAAACAGGACCCCAGAGGCAGACCACCTCTTGCTCAGACCACAAGCTTAGCAAACAAACTCAGGAAAGCCTTTTAATCAGACATCTATTTTTGCAAATGACAGTATCCCAGACATATCCAAGTATGTGGTGCATGCTAGAATTGTGAACTATGTGCTGCATAAGTCATGGGACAACTTCAATTCAACTTACCCTCTGTCTCATTTCATTCACTCCTACCACAAATGTTGAAGGTTAATTCTATACAAGACTCTGAATTTAACCATTAATAGGTACTTAACCATGACCCTCTGCCCTCAAAGTTAGAGAAATTAAGTACAAATTTGCACTCATCAAAAGGCATTAGGTGAGCAGTTTCAAGAGTTTTCCAAAGCATCAAAGCCACCAAGTCAAAAATCCTAACCATTCCATGAAATATATACAGACACTTTTTGGTCAGTTGAGATAAAGATTTCTCCTGCCTACTTTTTCCATGACTGCTGGTAACTATCTCTGCTACTAAAATTAATTCACCCTTGGTGTATCAAGAAAAGATTCTTTTTTGTGATTGAACTCCTGGAAGAAAACAGCACAATCCATATTCCCACAGTCTGGGGTAAGCAAAGGAGACTTTCAAAATGTGCATCCTTGGAGTGAGGCTTGAAAAAGAAGACAAGGTGCCCGTGACCTCTCTTGGACACTGCCATATGCAATCCAGTAGAGAGGGTAAATAAAGGTGATATGAATTCTGGACATTTCCCCTCAGAGAACATCTTGCTAATAGATGGTCATGCATTATGGGAAAATGAACCACCATAACATCTATACAAAAATTGCAACAGACCTATAGAGCTTAGCAGGCTRTCTGAATGAAATAGCATTTAAAAATCACATGTGCAGATCACTATACATAATCATGTACAGTTTCCCTATAATCTTTACAGTGGTTCACTTCAACAACCATTATTGCTTCCTTTATTTTTTAATAAGCATTTTAACTATTTTTTACCATTTTTAGAGTAATACATGCACAACATGAAAAATTTAGGAAATTCGGCAAGTTGATGGGTTGGTTTTTTTTTTTTTTGGTTTGTTTGTTTTATTGTGTGTGTGTGTGTGTGTGTGTGTGTGTGTGTGTGTGCGCGCGCGCGTGCGCGGTACTGGGGATTGAACCCAGGGCCTTGTGCATGTGAGGCAAGCACTCTCCCAACTGAGCTACATCCCCAGGCCAAGTTGATGTTTTTTTAAAATCACATAAATTCTTACAAGTACTGTTACAATTTGGTACATTACCATTTAATCTTTCTAATAGCTACTTGAAATGAATATGCCCATAAGCCAACTCTGGTAAAAATCACCAATAAGCTAGGGTATAAATGGCCATCTGTAATCTTTCAATTATGAACWAGATATTTAACAGTTTTGAATATACTAAGCATTAAATTCAGCTTGAAAAGATTAAATTCAATGGAGAAACATTAAATGGTCTGTTTAATGTCTGAATAAGCTGACACWGCTTCCTTTTCTATTTGTCTTTCCAAAAGCCTAGTAGTTAGAATCAAGATCTTGGTTAACTATTAGTTCAGATACAAATCTCTTTAAACATATATTTCCTTGATTACTTAATCATGTGTGATTGTGGTAAACAAAAAAAATAGTTTTAGCAGTTTTTCTTTTTTACAAGTGTATAATTACCATTATTTTATCAAGATATTTAATGAGGATTTATTTTCTATTACAATTTTCCATAATAGAAATGCTATTYAATGGTATTAAAAATAAAAAATACTGACTTACCTGATTAAGAAATTATGTAGTCCAACATCAAAATGCCTGTTCAGAGAAGGAAAAAGACAAGCATATCAACAAAACAGGTTTACAGAATAGTAAACTTGACAAAAAATATGTATGTATATATGTATGTATATATATACATGTATATACACACACAAAAAAAAATTTTATATATATATATATATATATATATATATATATATATACACACATTCAAATCATGAAGAAATGAATTACTCCATGGCAGTGATTCTCAAAGTGTGACTCCTTAAGTAGCAGCAGCATTATTGTTGGAAACGCAAGTGTCCAGATATAATGATTCCAAATTTCTAGGGATGGGGCCCAGAAATTTATCAAGCCCTCCTCGTGATTCTAATGTCAAGCCATGGCTCTCTGAGAGCAAGGTATCTCAGCAAGTCTAAGCTCTCTAAAAATCAAGGTCATGCAGGTGGATTTCAAGGTACCTTCCACTCTGTTTTCCAATAGAGGAGACCTGTTATAATGACAATTTCCTCAGATACTCATTTCCTCAAAAATAAATGAGACATGTTTAGAAAGCACATAATACTAGCCAACAGCAAAGTGACCCTTGTGAGGTTTCGCCCTGGTCTTCAGAGCTTCCCCCAGGTGAAGTCCCTGCAGCTTTCCACCTGGAAAGACCCCAGTTTCATAGGTGGGTCTGTGTTGAGCAGGAAGGCGAAAGCAGCTCCACCCACCAGAGCCTTTAGTAAGACCTGCGCAATGGTGGACCATTCACATCACAACCCTCCTACTTCACCCAACTGACTTAGTGCATACAAATGGCATTGCCCTGGTTTGTTCAATTAGCTTGCTCCTCCTGAACCAATTGCCTTCTCTCCCTTTGAGTGCGACGTTGAGTGAATTATGATGCTCCTGTCCATAAGGCACAGTTCATGCTCATAATACCTAGAAGATGGTTGTCATGCCCCATCCACAGACTCACTTTCTAGGKTGGCAATCGGCCTGAGGAATACTGAGTTAATTCTGTCCCTTTGGGCAATGGACACAGGAATTCACTCAGGGTGGGGTTCGACTTTCCAGGCCCTGCCTGTCCCTGGCCTTTCGCTCTATCCCTGGAGCAACCCAGCAGGTTTGGCACTTCACCCACTTGACAAACACCCAGTGATTACGCACATTACAATAGGATTTCTTGTGGGATACCTTTAAATGACAAGGTTCTTTTATGCATATAGATAACCTCAAAACCTCAAAGCCAAATTAGAAGGTACATCATTCACTACATACCTTACCTGAAAAAATTTAAAAATTCAGGAGAGATGGGATTTAAGATACACAGATTCCACTTATTCTAAGTCGTCTGCCCAAGCCATTCTCAAAAGGGAGATATACCTATACTAGGAGTGACTGACTTGTTACATTAGATTTTACATTGGCCTGAATGAGATGCCAAGTTCTTGCGCAATAATATTTAATAAAATTTTCTTAATAAAAAAAATGATCCCTCCACTTAAAAACCAAGGGTACTTAGCATAGCCACAAAAGTAAATATCTGCACTTCAGGTAGCAAGAGTAACTTTGCCAGATCTGCAATATGGAAGGAAGAAACATGTGCAGCTTTAGACAAAGATTTCCGTTTCCTTCGCTCATCCAAAGTTTATTCAGCTCTTTCAATTACATCAGCTACAGACGCAATAGACTTATTTCAGGACCACAGGACAAAACAGACACGGAAAGAATCACTACATACTCAGTATAATATTGGAGTAGGAGGGAGAATAATGAAAAACCGAAAGAATAATGAAAAACCATTACAAGTTACTACTTATTGTTTGGAATGTGGCAAGCACTATGTTCAGTACTCACATATGCATATAATTACTGCTGCAACAGGTAGTGGTACCCAATTCACTAGTGCAGGAACTAAGGTTCAGAGAGGCTAAGTAACTTGCAGAGCGCATAGTCGGTAGAAGACAAAGCTAGGAGTTAAATTTTAAGTTCTAAAAGACAGGAGTTATTTATTCTTCCCAAGTACCCTTCTAAAAGCACAGGCTCTCACTACTTCTCAGTACTGCTAGATGAAAATGGTAGTCATTTTATACACAGATCCCTTCTCACCTACATGATTCTGCTTCCCCCTACATGGCTASCCTGCTCCAGGTAAGCCCACCTTCTTCTGCTCCCTTATACTCATGTGCTCTGCAGGATCTTGGTATCAGTCAGGCTCTGGAAATTTGATTCACTTCTCTGGGCTTCAGCTTCCTCATTGGGGAAATGGAGAGAACTTATTCACAGGCAACTTAAGTGATATATGTAAACATGGATTAGCAGAGTACTTGGTACACAGGAAGTACTCAATAAATGTTCATCTCCTTCCTTATTTTTAATGGAGCTCCCTTCCCAATAACTCATTGAGAGAAACTAACTGTATAAGAGGGACATAAGATGACTTACACTGTGGCCCAGAAAGGGAAAATACTCTTCCAGGACCCACCAAGGGCAGATAGAAAGCTGAAGGCTTGGGAGGGGCAGGGCCTCCAAGTGACCAGCACAGAATTCAGGAAATGGCAGGACAGTAGGATCAGGCAGATCTTGAAAGCAAGCATGAGTACAAAGGGATGACCTCATCCTGTCTGCCCCAGACATATGCCAGTGCACACACCACTGTATGCTTAGGGTCTATCTGCACAGAAGTGAGGGACTGACACATGCTGCATCAAACTCTCATGCATGTGTGATTGATTACAGAGAGAACTAGAGACTGGAGCAAAGGAGGGATGTGTGCTTATGATGGGAAAGCATAAAAAGAATAAAGAGTTGGCAATCCCTTGAAAACTGAAGTGAAACGGAGAAGATAGAGGGTGGAATTAGCATCAGAAAATGCAACAGGAAAACAGTAAAAGGAGGAAATCAAAGCTTCCTCAACGGCATAAGCTAGTCTTACATCTTTATGCATCTATGTTGACACTCTCATTCAATAAATACTTTGTGTCTTCTACGTCAGGTGGGTACAGAGGTGAGCATTGTATCAAGGCCCCCAGCTCTCATGGGGCTCACATTCTGGAAGAGGGAAACAAAGCAGTGCATAAATAAATTGTATCTGATAGCAACAAATGCCAGTGAGGCAAAAGGATAGCGTGACCAGCCCCCACAAAGGCTCAGTAAGACCTCCTTGAGGGGGGTATATTTTTTTCTGTACAGTTCAAGGACAGCTGTACAGAAACCAGAGGAAGAATATTCTAGAAAGAAAGACATCTAGGGTATGGAACCAAGTGGGAAAGTGGGACCCAAACTGAGAAGGAATGAAGCAGGCTAGAGCTGCCAAAAGCAGGACAACATAACCAGAGCACAGTGTACAAGAGAATGGGGACAGGCTGGGTTTGGAAAACTGAGCAGGCACCTGATCTTACAGCCTTGTGCATAAGAAGTTTTCGTTTTAGTTTTACCTGAACATTGATAGGGTAACATAACAGCAGAGCGAGTTTTTAAATTTGTTTTAATTTCATTCTTCAGAGGAGATGGAGGTGGGGGGTGGGGCATAGCATACTTTTGATGTAGGACAGAGGAGCCTGGACACCCGAGGAATTAGTAGGAAGCAGGTTTGTTGGCTGCAGCTGGTTCAGAGTATGGCTTGTGCCCGAAAATTTTTTCTTCTGAACAATGAGTCTAGAAATTCTTTGAACTTTATACCTAGTGGGAAGAGGGACTTGGAGGTTTACATTTTACATAAAATTATTTAGTCTACAAAAAAGTATTTCTTTTTCTTTGAGTTCACAGAGTACTTTTTGTCTCATTTTTTAAGATTAGTCAGAGGATTTACCCATTTTTCCACAAAATCAGAAGTAACATGAAATCCAGGGACAAACAGCTTTTGCAAGACAGCAACAGAAAATAGGAAGTCTAACCACATTTAAGCTCTTTTGCAGAAATCTTTGCTGATATTCTGTTGAAAAGAACAATTATGGTGAGGGTCTCTGGAGAAGCTTRATTAGGATTGTTTGATTTATGGTTCTAGAATGTCACATTGGATATCTCACAGACAGTGAATGGTAAGAGGAATTGGGGCAGGGAGACAATAGAAGATCGCTGCAGTACATCGAGAAATAACCGAGCGTGGCAGGGGTGGATCCAGATATGATTCTGTGGTATAGTCAAAAAGATTTATTAATAAATCCACACAGGTGTGTGCGGGTATAATAGAGCACCTCTAAAATTAAAAGCCCCTATCTTCCCAATTTCCAGATAACCAGTATTCCTCCATCCCAGCTTCCTCATACTGAGGATGGAACTGAAAAGATGTCCCTTTGGCCCATTGGTGGGCATCATTGGAACTGGAATTATGAAAAGTATCTGGCTAGCACAGCCTGATTAAGTCTACACAACTACATTTCTTTCCCCCCACACTATATATTTTAACCACTTCCGCAGGGTGGAATGAGGTAGATTAGCTACCTTCCCAATTTGAGGGAGACTGAATTCCCTTTTCCTTTTTATAATTTTTCTCTTGTTTCTGATGTTGGGCAGAAGCACAACCAAATCATCTCTCAGAACCCTAGCAGGACCTCTGTCTTAGAGTGCTGGTTACGGAGAGAGCTGGGAAAATAAGGAAAAGAGAATGACCTTCAAAACAGCTGTAAGTGCCTCCTATTGCTCAATTTCAAATCAGGAAACCTAAATGAGAACTTAACCAGATCTTTGACTTCCTACAGAACCTCCAGAGTAATACCTAAGGACCCACGCTCAGGCCAAGGGAATGAAATGGTCCTCGGACTAGCTTAATTTGGAAATGGTTTGCCTGCTGGGAGGGCTATAAATCACAGCTACATTTTTTTCTTTTTATAATTCACTTCCAGTGGTAATACACACAAAATAAAATTTACACAAAATTTTAAGCATTTGTAAGAGTACATGTCAATGGCATTGAGTACATTCGTATTGTGCTAGAGATGTACCTTAGTGGTACAGTGCATGCTTAGCATGCACAAGACCATGTGTTCAATCCTTGGCACCAAAAAAAAAAAGTAGGGGAAAGCATATTCACATTACTGTGCTACCATCAC